AAAGGAAGAGAGAGAGAGAGAGAGAGAGAAGAACAAAGAATGGCAGTATTTAGCATCAATTAACCACAACCTAATGAGAATTATCAGAGAATCAAAAATCACCTTGACAAAGGGGCCCAAACTTCTACACACGCATCTAACTAGTTGGAAACGGTTACTTGTGTAAGGGAAACAGGTCAATTTAGCTCAAAGGGAATCATTTAAGATTTTAAAGGGAATTTGGACAGAATCACTGTTTTACAGCTGATCACTGAGACGGCCAGCGATTCATTGAACGAGCCGTATAACATCAATTCTGCAATGGACTGCAGTCTGCGGCATGTTGGCACGCTGGGGAGAAGAGAGACTGACACAGATCTGTGTAGAGTAGAAGCCTATGTGTGGTGGGACAACTAAGTGTTGAGTCAGTGATTGTGACGCACTAGTGAAGTGTGGTGATGATTGTGTTGGTCTCGAGGTGTCTAAGTAGACTAGGGATGCGAAGACTTCGTCACTCTAATGAGGAAGAGGAAAAAGAGAGAAAAGGTGAAAACAATTCAATGAAAAGAAACAATTCCTTTTCAATTAGAGAAATTCTTTTTTTTTTCAATTGAATGTTATCAAGAAGGTAAACAATATTATTAAATCTCTGTTTTAGACAAAAGAATGCAATAATAATGTTGATATCTCTTTTCTTAGTCTGACAGGACTGACACCGTACACCTTACAGTTGGACCGCTCACCAGGGAGGCTGCGAAGGCAACAGTTGTTCAACACTTATCTCTATTAAATTGATCTCAGCGTTGGATGAGATGCTAAAATTTGGATTGCGTTTCCAAATGTAGGGAGGTTAGGAAGAACGAAGGAGGGGTTGATTACAATCAAATCCATAAGGATGATTCGTCTTCTTCGACAAGATTGTGTATTTCATTCACATAGAATTGATTGATGGTTCTTACAGGTCCTACACATGTGAAGAGTAAAGAGGAAGGAAAGCAGGAGAGACAGGAGAGAAGGGAAGGAGACTCAGTAAACTGAGTGGATCGTGTCCACTAGCAGGCTCTGTTGCTGTTATGCCCAACTACGAGTAGAATAGTGTTGTTTTTAGTTGCTGCACAACTAATCAAACAAAAATAATAAATTTAAGTGAAAGAGAGTTGTCTTTCTAATATCTTTGAACTCGTAGTGAGGGATAACAATGTCTCCTATTAAGGGCTCAGGTGTGTCGTTCCCAAGCTAGGATATACAGAGGAAAGAGAATAGCAAGTAAAGTAAAATTTAAAAAGTAATAAATGGGCAAAATAAGTAAAAACGAAATTAACTAAAGGAAATCAGTGAATAAAACAATAATGGCTAAGTGTATAACCAAACAGGAAGAAAAGGGGTAAAACGCAATAAAATAATGAGTAAGTATAAGTCTGAATA